AATTTGTATTTCTACGAGCAACATCAAAGAACCTTTGTGCTACGCGTCGGAGTGCACTTCCTCGAATTACCCGTCGCCGTCTTTCACCCACCCGTAACGCGACGGCCATCTATCTCACTCACACAACATTCTCTCAAGTTTAATTCTGTGGCCACATCGATCGCCGGACCTCACTGAGTGTTCTGAAGACCAACGTTTACACAACAGATGAAAAGAGTCGTAAAATGTCACGGGAACTCAAGACGAATGCGACAGGGTTCCTTCTACAATAGTGAATTGGTGTGTTCGCATAAGATAAGTCTACCAGTGCGTCTCGGTATCACGACGTAAAAACACGGAAATAAAACTTAGACGCCGGCTAGAAACTTAATGCTCAATTTCAAGCAAGTAGTTCTGATCACATGAAAATCGCCTGTTGTACGTAGCCTACTGAAGTGTGCGATAGAAATATTACGAGTAGCAAAGAAAAAATACCAGCACTCTTGCCAAAAATCGAAAGCAATTTATTGCAGCATCCGTTCATATAATACTCATCATCCAGATATAGTTGATGGAATTATTTAGTATTACTTCTAGTTCATGCGTGTCTGTGGAAGATTTCCGATTCCAATCTGCATCGGAGAATCAACTCAGGTTTTCATCCGCTCCAATTCATGATGGTAACTGCCGGCACCACTTTACAGCAAGTATTTTTAACTTCAATTACCTATAAAGTGACAAAATATAATCTACAATTAACACATGGAATTCCTAGGAGCGGTTACAGGCCGCACTAGACCATACCAAATTAAGAAGGAAGATATCAAGAAATAACCAAAAATACAGTTAGTACAAAAAAGAAACAAACACAACCGGATCAACCATTTGGAGAGAATAACAGACGTAAAGATACCCATCAAATTTTACAGTACAAACCACACTAATGCCAAGACCCAGGCATACCTTTAAAAAATATAGAATAACTATGTGAAGTCGAAATATGCCGACAGCGTAAACCATGAAGAGCTGAATAAAACGATAAAAATGGGTTCATAAAAGCCACCCCCATGAATCAAAGATTTCTACTGACTGGTCTCAGCTCGGAAATGTTATCTGTGGACAAATGTTGAACTATCGGTGCTCTGATAACACGAAAAGAAAAATTACTTATGTTAATGTCGGTATCCCACCAATTTATATTATGTCTCAAAAGTTACATTTTACTGCAGTACATGAAGGCAGACAACAAAATAAAACGTTCTTTAAGAACACCAGCAAGTAATAACGGAGCCCGGGACACAATAATTGATTGTCCATTTGGATCTATTTTCCCTGTCCCCGTGGACTCGTAAACAGCGTGGTATTTGCAGTAAAACTGTCTTCACAAGCGGATTTCAAGTCTTCTTCGAAGCTTCAGGGAAAAATGAAGTCACATATATAGACGCACCATGTCTGATGCGCTTCTAATCAAACCAGCAGCGCGTTCGGAGGACAGAGGTAATATCAGCATCGTAACAAAAACGGATTGTCAATAGGTTAAGGTGTTTTGGGAGTTGGTTTCATTCGTTTCTTCATTAACCAGTCGTTACACTGCCGTATTTACTTTCCACGTGCTTGGAATAAAGTCCTGACAATTCGAATACTGGGTGATCACGTACATAAACCAATGCTATTAATATGAAACAAATAAAAATCACCTTAAGTAAGACGTACAGCATATTACAGAAACACTACACACGCTATATATATATATATATATATATATATATATATATATATCAATATCTGAAAGTATTAACTGAATCCTTATTTCAAAATAGTGCACATATTGTAAGAAATGCTAAGAACAGTGACGTCTGACTGTGCAGCAGGACATCTGCCGTGCGATTAGCTTTACAACAGTACGCCATTATCTACGAGTGGCTTGTATCTGTAGTAAATGAATAATAACAATAATAATAAGATCAAGACCGCATTTGGATAACGTATATTCCCTTAAAGACGGCCCTCCACTGTTATTTAAAAGAAGACACCACAGTTATGCTATAAAGTTGTGCATAAAATGAGATTTGCAATACCACTGTCTCTACCGCGTGCAAATTGGCACCACAAGCTGACGCCCCTCCCCCAAAATATTGTACGCGTACATACCAGCCGTGACTTCTAGACAGATTTTAATGGTATTTCACGACAGCAAAAGGAAAACTGTTAAAAAAAAAATTCCACATTAGAATATGCGCACACAGCATCATATTTATGTATTAGGTAAGGTCATCTTTAAGGCAAATGTTAAAGAAAACCTAATTTAAAATACTAATGTGGAATTCGCATGTGGGGACAGACGAAAACAACGAAAGCCTTCAGTCAGGATAGCCGATCTCTGGAACCACAGTTCTCACGACCTTCACCTAGCCTGCACTTACGAAAATGGCTCTCGATAAATCAACCGATGCGGGCACTTGCAGACAGGAATGGTATAACATTCTGAATGAGCCGGCGTTATACTTGAAATCAATAACAATACGCATAACAATAAATTTCTGCGCTTTTTATATTTATGTAACATAGTATGAGATCAGACCTTCGGTTTACGAGATTTCTTCTACAGCAAACAAAACCATCAGCGGTAAAATCACACATGCTTCTCAAAAAAGGTTCCTTATTGAGGGAAGTTTCTAGCAGTGGCAAGATGTCTACCGTTGTATGAGTCTACCAGGATCGGGATAGTACGCCTAATTCAGTTAATAATGTCACAACCCCACTGAAACCATAACCTATAAAAATATAGACTCCTTTCTAAAATAAGAAAGGACAATGCAGAAACAGGTCAGCCAATATCATAAAAACTGGGACAAGGAATCCGCCTCCACACGAGGCGTCGCACTGCGTCGAAACTGGCGCCCCGATAACGGCCGCTGGCCAACTTCAGCACTAGTGGCATAAGGCATATTCATATTAAGCATCAAATTTGTCTTAATCACTGCCGCGGTTTCGCTTACTAAGTTATATTAAAACTTAAAGCTTAAATTGTAAATCCAAGGCAAATAACGAAAATATTAATCATTTTATTATACCGTACTACGGTCAACGTCCAACTTTATGATGACGATACTTAACTTTATAACCTGTTAACGTCAATGATAATACTGAAATGCATGTTTCAACGCTTCGAAGAACGAGAAAAGTGGCAGACACACGAGTGGGAAACAAACTTAGCGCAGTCGCAGGGATGAGGTTACGTCTAAGTTTGCCTCTGCAGAAAAAGCACAGAATTTGACTTATTCACTGTATATAAAACGTAAATTTAACCAAAATTAACAGGCCTGAACGTAATGGAATGGCAACCTGACAGACGGGCGACAATTTTATTTAGAAAAAAACCGTTTGAATGGAATTTACGCCGTGTGTGGGACTACACATAAGATTTAACCACACGCAGCAAAACTGTAATAAAGATGCCCAAGGCCTGCCAAACTGTCTCTACAATTATAATATCAATTAAAACTATTTTTATTAGTTTATTACACAATACAGAATGGAAGAAGAAATATCAAATTACTGATATTTAAATGTGTATTCATTAATCAAATTTATTTGCTATTCAGGCGGGGTCTTCTAAACACGGTAATAAACCTTCGCGTTAATTACAACGCGAGTAATTTATTGACTGAATGACTTTCAGTGAGTACACGAAGGACTCAATGCAGCCATTTGTCATCCACACAGTTCATCTACATAAGAATAAATCGGTAACAAATTAAGAAACAGAATACCTACTGTAATTTACAGTAAGGGTGAACGAGTCTTAAAGTATGCATTTAAACACTGAAGTTTCATAAGACAAGTCTAAGGTAAAGAGGAAAATGCTGGAGAACAAGGTTTAAGTGTTACTCTCAAACACGCTAATATATTTAAACCAGGTAACTACTGTAGACATCAAAACGGGGAAAATAAACTAACCTATAACTGAAATATTTTCCTCCCTCGCCATTTCTTTCGAAAGGTATAAAGAGTGCGTCTGTACGCATAACAAATAAAACCCGTGGCCACGACCGATCCAACGCCCGGGGAATTGCATGCCTGCCCACGATCCCGTTCCCGAACAGCCACACTGAAATGTACTTCAGCTCCACCGTGAAAAATCCACATTTGTTGTCGCGTGAACAACGAATGAGGTAAATTTCCACAGAGATGTCGCAGTACCGGGAAATAGTAAGGTTTGTTGGTAAGATAGACGCACCAATGAGATGATTTCCTATGAATCCGTCCCACGCGGTTAACAACTTCTGGTGTAATGCAGAAACACCCCAGAAGACTGCAATCTTCTGGTGTAATGCTGACTGAACCAGCTGTGCCCTTGAACGTTATCCCTGTCGCTTCTTACTTGAGCATTTTTGGACTTATATTCATTGGACATTTTTGACTCAAACTGACGTCCTGAAGCTCCCCTGCCATTTATATCACATCATCTAGAAACGCCCTGTATAAACACAACGCTCGTAAGATATACCAATTCCACGTGTTCCTTAAAGCTTAACCACTGTTCTGCTACACCGACTCCATCATTTAATCAAACCACATTAAGAATGAACTTTCACATAAACTGATGTCTTCAACCAGTAAAACAAATTAACTTTAGTTATGTATTCCTCCTAAATATTTACTTAAACTGCCATATGAAACACACAAAATAACAGATCGCCTACTTTCAACCACTTCAGCATTTCACTGACTTAAAAACGATTCTGTTATGATGGACTGTAAATTTATCAAAATAATCACTTTGTAGATCGGTGAAGCATACAACAAGCACGTAGTAATAATATACCGTTTCGTTTTAACAGGCATTATTCTAGCACGCACTAAAATTCAAACCAATATATTACGTCAGAAGTGCTGCCGTTTAAACTGGTAAACACAAACGTTCAGAACGCTAATAAACCCAACTGCACAAAGCATTTTTCGCCATAAAATGACATCAATAAACGAAAACAGGCAACATAGGATCTCAGATACTCTACCTTGAGATCCTTAAATGAAGCAAGTGTGGACCATGAAATCTTGAATAATTGTTGCAGTTTTTCGAAGCTGTGTTATGTAGAACCACAGCGCCTTGATATTCACACGCGGCATAAGGCTATCACCACGAAGGAAGCAATATGTTGCTTTTTGAATATATTACATTCACAGATTTTCTCGTAACAAGCTTCCAACTACTCTAAAAAGTTGAAATACATAAGAGTCACTACGCTGCTTCATGCTCGGAATTTAAAATGAATTTCTTTACTGCAACTTCACAACGAAATAGATATTTTTCCTAATGGAAATCCGTAACGTCTACTTATGTCCAATCTATGTAACTATTATCTGTCATTCTTAGGCCACGTCTAATCTTTGAAAAAGTTTTCTAGCCACCACCACCACCACGCCCTTCACGAATTCCATGTAAATGAAAACAAACATGCACTCACACCCTCAACACACTACTTGTGCACGGCAGCCAACTAGGCGAGTGACGGCAGCGTCTGTCCGTCGGTCGAAGCGACTGCTCGCTGATGGCGCTGTCTGTCTTGACGCGCGCGTCGCCTTAACTACACGCCTTCTCGTGCGTGCAGCCGGGATGAATGATGTACTGTTTAACTACATCGTGATACCTGGAGTCCAATGACGTCAATACATGCACCGGGTTTATACACGTCTTCATATGAAGATGTTACGCAAAATTAAATAGTTATTATACAATACCGAAAGAAAAATCATGTGATAACGGCATTTTTGAACTTTGGAAGAACAGGTGGTAGTGTAATCTGAGATAACAGCATGGCATCTGCCTGGATAAAACCCACAATTTACCGCACAGAGGCACGTCCACATTGATAAACTGTCACAACTTAACTACTCGAGAAATGCCTAGTCTTTGACCACAAATAATCACTAGATTTTCTCAAGAGCTTTTCGCCGGCCGCAATCCCGAGCCACATAAATCCAGTCAACACTCTCACACACTATTTTTTAAAATAAATTTTAACATTATTCTACTATCCACTTCTAGGCCACCGAAGTGCCCCGTAGCTTCTGGTTTTCCGGCTAAAATCTCGCACGCATTTCTCATCTCTCATGTGTACTACGTTTCATCCATCTTGTACCCTAACGATGATATTCGGTAAAGAGCAAGAATTATGAGCTCTTAATAATTTTTTTAACCATCTACTGTTGCACCACGTGTCTTAGATAAAATATTTTCCTAAACACCCTGTTCTCAAGCAACCTCAATCTATATCCCTCCCTAAAGTGAGAGACCAAGTTTCACACCCATACAAAATACAAGTGAAATTATACTCTTACATACTTCAAGCCTTCTCTGTAACTGTCGAAGGAAAAACAGTTGCGACAATGTGTATTCCAACTTAACCCGTAAGTTCCAGTTATGGCAAACAGCCTAGTAGCGTGAATTATTAACAAAACATGCACATGTGAATTGAAGGCTTCAACGATGTGTGCAATTATGTACAAAATACTGCTGCTTGTTTACTTTGAAGAGTGTTGAATAATGTGTTCAGACATCTGGAAATAAAGTGAGGGGCTTCTGGTAGCCTAAGCTTCGTCAAACGGCGTTGAATAAACAGCAGTAGATGCAGTAGGTCAAGTACAAGAATCAATAGTGGAGTGATCCATGCAACTCTGCAACTTCAGTCTAGTAGTCACGATACGAATAATTTGGTTCAGAATTTGCTGCATGGCATGATTTAAACTTGAAGCCGTGGTAGTAATTACTGAGTGAGATTTTAAGTTTTCACGGCAGTGAGGATGATGTTCTTCTATGTATTGACCCAGTGTAGACTCGTACTACCACCATCTTCAGGGTTCAAGATGGATACAGTATGTTTCTCCGAAACGTTGGTATCTACCAACAAGTCTTGACGGCGCCAAAATCCAGAAGAGTATCGGTTAATTACTTCGTTCCATACACCTCTAGACATGTATACAAAAAAAGTTTCCTATGCTAAGAAACATCAATAAACCACTCTAATAATTCATAAACACGCTGTCTTCCTAAGTACTCAAAAAATCAGGCAAACACGTTATTCAAGAATCCTTTTACAAAGAAAAAACGTAACAAGCTAGTGAGATGACTCTGCCTTCTGGGATGTTGCGCCGTGTAGACTGGTAGAAGTTTACCGACGTTTCAGAGGTGCTTCCTGCCTCCATCAACATCCCAGAAGACAGTCTGCATACTCGCGGCAGTGAGAACCTGAAGTCTCACGTATCAAACTAGAACCTGTCAATGACGTAATATGTAATGCAGTAATCAATGAGAAATAGAAATGCCTTGAACATGCACTTTGTTGATTTCCGAAAGGGGAAATTACTAGTGTGCAAATAACAATATAAGCGCTGTGCTCAATCCTACGGCCGAGTTTCAAGAAACTAACTAAAAATGTTATCAGTGGCAGGAAACACACAACAGAATAAGGCTCGCTTGGTTTTGGAATGAAAATAAATATCTTATCAAGTACATGTTTTTTAATACAGAGCCCATAAATCAAAGTTCTATGCGGAATTTTGACATTCATTTTAGAGATAACAGAAAACTGTAAGCATTTAAACTAAAATAAATAACACGTACTCTATTCATAATTATGCAGGCTGAGTAGCATTGCACACGCCCGTATTACCATGAATAAGAAATAACAGAATTCGGTCCATTAGGTGGTGGACAGTTCACAACTTACGTGTAATGACCACAGTATTTGTACACATACAATGCGGGCCACTTCACTTACCTGGAACAAAGCACAAAAGACAATGTCAGAAAAATATGTAAGTGGGTTAGTTTTTCACTGCCTGAGTACCAGCACCACTGATTACTACAAGAATGTCAAGTTTTTTATATCAAGCAAGCCTGGACGATATCTTACATCAAAGACTTAATAAATGTTCTCCGAATTTGAAAACACAGTTTTCACCCTGACAAACACATTATTACATAACAAAAGTTTGATATTGATGCAAATTCTGAGACACAACGGAAACATTAAGAATTTTAACACAATCATAGTAACTACATGACAATCACTGAGAAATAGGTAGGGGGACAGTTTCTGTCTCAGACACGCTGTTAGTTGTAACATACATTAAACCACTCGACGACGGTGCGGTGCATTAGGGTTTTGAAAGGCCAGAAATAGCTGGCAAGAAACCTTTACATTCCATGAAGCCTACTGCATTCCATACAAATAATCTCTTACAAAGGCCTATCTGTTTCCTACAACACACTATTCAAGCTTTAGAAATGGCAGATCACATTTTAAGTATCACACACAAACTTACTTTCAATCGCAGACCTAGAGGAATGCAAGATTTTGGAACACTACGAACGAGGTGGGTCAAACAGTTAAAGTAACCTCGGAATGGGTCCAATCGGCCTAAACCTTTTAACGAGGACGAAGATGCACAAGCTGATTCTAACTGATATTTCTTCAAATCACGTACGCAGCATCAAATCTCTCTACACCACACGCAAATAAAGGGAAATCAAATATACAAAAACTACAAACTGAGATATTCATTGCTGTATATCATAACTGATTAATATAATTCTAGCAGAAAATTGGAACCTCGTTAGGAACAATCTACATACATTAAAGTGTATCGTAATATAGCATCACAAACATAGTGAAACGACATCAATGCTTTCTTTGTAACACGTTGTCTCTCGGGAGCAATAAACACACAAAAGTCTGTTCCCCTTCTCAACGTGGCAACTTCTTCGACTTCTTTCTCCGCCTTGTAGTCTACATATGAAGTTGCAGGGGCAAAGGGAGTTTAGTTCATACGCTCTGCTAACAGCCGTACTTGCATTTACAGTTTCTGAATTCCAGAACGTGTAAATGTTACAGAATCGCATGCCGAATATGAAAGTAATATTTACACACATCCTTACATACTGCACCACCACTACACTCATTAAACGCATCAATGTTAATCAATATCTTACACTCATAGCTAAAATTCTGCCGGCGAATTCTCATGGAAGATAAAGTTAACTTAACACAAACGTCTAAGTGGTTCTCTGCAATTAATCTATCGTTCAGTAGTCTGAAAACGAAGTCACTCCGATTCGGGGAGATGACTTTGCTTGAAAACGTCTATTCTGTTAGGTCCTATAGAAGAGGCTAATCCCAATCCCTGGGTACCTGGTGTGTCTATAGCAACAAAGGATTTTGAATAGTAAACCAGAATCAGATCATGAGATTCTAAATAAAACAGCATTCGAGGTAATTATTAACTTAAACACGAGCAGAAAAAATAACTTTTAAGCCGGTCCCTTTAACTGATGTACTTTAAGACATTATGACATCCATGACAGTGAAATTAAGCCTCTAAACTAAACACAGTTATGTATCAATCACTACGATTCAAATGCATAAAACATGACAATTCGTACAGACCGTTAACAAAATTTTCTCCACACGGAATCTAAAATAAACATCGGGCAAAAGACACTTTCTCTTTATTTAAGCTTAACGCCACGAAGACGTAAAAGACATACAGAGATACAAAGAGATACAGCTATAAGCATTCTTAACTGTACTGAGGTGAGCTGTCAGCTTTACATTCCAGGCCGCTTTACCCCCGGGGAAAAATGGACACCAGGACCCACTGAATACGAAGCCGAACTCGTACCACAGACAGATCAGATGTCGCGGAAAAAAGAAGCACATCCTCCCACGTCCAGAATCTAACATCGGCTCTTCAGCCCGAAGTCAACAGCAACACTGATTAAGTGATATTCCCGGGCAACGAGACTCGTAAGAATCCCGCAATATTTCCGGCACAGTACAAGGCGGGCAAGGTACATGGCGTTACAGGATCCGAAGTACGCGGTCTTAAACGACAGACCTACAAACAGGAAAGAGGCAACATAATATGAACGACACGACACGATGAAGGGCGGAGTGGGATGCGAACAAATGCCAGCAGGTTAAGCTAAACATGATACTCTATAATAAAATACACAACACCGAAACTATACAGAGGTATGCCCCATAGCAAATTTAGCAATGCAAGGTTTCAGGCTAGGACTAGCTAGGGTTTAGCTGCCCTCGCAAGCACTTGGAGCGACCATACAAGGGGAGAGGCGATATTCGGAGCGCAGGACGACGAGGGGTCGAGTCGCCACGGTCTTGCTCCAACGTAATCTATGGCTCAGTGGCGTTAGAGTGTACGGGTGAAGGTAATTTTTTCTTGTGCCTATTTCTGGCGAACCACATGTGCCTCAATGACCACACTCACGTACAGATGAGGTCACGGATAGGTGAAAATCATGTCAAGGTCACGACAATATCAGCCGAATATTTTGCCAAACAGCGGCCTTTAAATTTCTCAAGGTCATTTCAAGGCCATTTTTTTCTCCCAATTATTTCTGACGAACTGTATGTCTCTGAGTGACCACACTCATGCCACGTTGCGAACAATGTTAGGTGAACGTCATGTCATTATGTAGTTTGCTCCATACCCCATCCTCTTCTCTCCTAGGCTCAATTATTGTACTCA